GAAAGTCAGATTTTCTTCACCACGATGCATTGTGTCACTTTTGACATCTTGTTTTCCCAGTGACCCAATAATTGTGATATACATATAATTGCCATTGCAGGTTTAAGTTAAAGTTATATACTCCAATCCAAATTAAAGAACTACTTCAAGTGTATCCTTCAATAAAACTACATATGAGCAATACCCATATATAGGAGTAGTACTGTTATACATATAGTACATAGATAATAATAACTGTTATAATAACTTTTTGCTTAAAATGTTGAATCATTCCAGGGTAGAAAGGAATACAACTGTGATTCACATCAGATTACATCAGTGCATTTCCAGCAAAACGCAACAAGACTAAACCCACAGGCTCCTACAACAGTTGAGGATGAAATGCATGCATTCCCCAAATATCATCCTGAAACAAATCATTGCATTCAGCAGGAGAGAACTTGATTTCTTCCCCGTGTGCACCTTCTAAAAATGTGAACTTTGTCAGCATCGACCCCTGTGCAGAGCGAGGCGAGGTGGATGCTTGGGATTCCTCCTCAGTTAGTAATACCTGCTACATTGCCCGGAATCTCCCTGTGTGTGCATACGCTCTGGCAATTACGCGTCGGTCCAAAGGACGATGACTAATGTGTCAAGACTGCACGTTTTCTTACAATCAGGTGGTCCAGACGGAGGTGGGGAGATGTGATGAGACAAAAGCTGCAGCTTTGGATACAGGCTCTTACGTCAAAAAGTGTCTCCTGGACCTCCCCCATGGCTGCTCATTATGTGCAGTTTACTGCTCACTCAGCTCTGGGTTGCTCCAAAGTTCACAGGAAGGAGAAGAGGGGGGTTGGGGGGGGGAGTCATTCCTGTTACTGAAGTCAGAGGGCTGTGTTTCTTTTCCAGCCCTCCCCTTATCCTCTCTCTGTCTTCTGTCCGTCATGATAAGCGGTGCAGGTGGCAGCAGAGAAGAAGCCTCTTATCACCCAGCACCACCTTCCCTCGTGCTGCTGGCCATGATTAGCGTTATAGAAACCACCAGAACACTTTCACTTGTCCCTTTTCATTTCACCTTCCAATGCAGAATGTGCATGCTTCATTTTATCTGCCATACCTGTTACAGCTGTACATGCTTTCTTATTCATGTACATTACAATACTTTAAAGCCTTGCATGCATCCATCTTATCTAACATTTAACAACAATATTTCACTAGCAGGAACCACGCCACAACAGTGTGATGTTTGTACGTTTATTGAAGTAACATGTGAATGATATGAGGGGGGTGAAGGGATGATCTGGGAGGACGAGCTATGGTCTGTGCAGTGGGAGACTCAGAGTGGGGGTTCCGTCTCCGGCATGATCTGCGTGGGCTGATTACGGGCCCCCCAGACGATACCTGGAATTAAGGTGTTAGTATACACAGTATATAAACATGCACCGTTTAAATATAAATGGTGACGGGCAGAGGATGTTGGGATGAAGGGATGAAGGGATGAGGGATGAGGGATGTAGGGATGAGGGATGGAAGGATGTAGGGATGAGGGATGTAGGGATGGAGGGATGTAGGGATGAGGGATGAAGGGATGTAGGGATGTGGGGAGGAGGCATGAGGGATGTAGGGATTAGGGATGAGGGATGTGGGGATGAGGGATGTAGGGATGTTGGGGGGAGGGAGGGATGAAGGGATGGCGGGATGAGGGATGAGGGATGTAGGGATGTTGAGGGGATGAAGGGATGAGGGATGTGGATGTTGAGGGGAGGGAGGGAAGAAGGGATGGATGGATGTATCGCTCGGTGTGAGTCGGAAGGGGAACTGTATGGGTAGAAAGGGAGAGGGAGGGTGGGTTGAAAGGATGGAGACGAGCAGTGACCGGAAGTTTTGCCGTATATAAATAGGGGTGGCCGTGGTTCAAGGCAGAGTTTTAGGCGTGGCCATGCTCCTGAACCTATGTTAACATTTTAACCTTATTTCACTAGCAGGGAGAAATGGCTCTAATAATGTTCTGAGAATGCCCCCAAAATGTGCGGGATGTTCTGAAAGTGTTTCTGGACCAGAAACGTGTGGCTTGAAAATAACATGCCCGGAACGAATGACCACATCTTCACTTCTAAATCCAACTAAACATTACCTTCAGGAGTTAGAATGATGCGCGCGCGGTTTGCCCAGCACCAGGCCTCCGTTACACTCTAAAGGGAAAATACGTTTATGCTGTAAATGTTAGGTTGGGTTGTGGGGGTGGGTGCTCCTGATATGAGCGACGCCGCGGAAAGAGCAGAATTAGGCGGCAGTTAGAGAGAAAGCAGCCTAGTTCATTGAAGTTATTACGCACCATCCTGCCTCCCTGCGAGTGATAGACGGTTAAAGTCTGAGGTGTTGCATGATGGAGAGGAAAGTGAGTGAGGTGTTTGAGATGGTGGAGAGCTGACTAAGCATGCTGAGGCCGGGTGGTAGGGGGCTCCGCATAATTGGCAAGAGAGGGATGTGCGTGCTGTGAAGATGCGGCATTAACGCTCGGAGTCCGGAGCACCCCGGTATGTTCCCTGGTTGAACTGCTTGATGCGGCTTGGCTAGCGAAGTTTATTTAATTTATTTAATTTTTTTCAGAGAGAGACCAGAGCGTCTGCTCACAGCGAGGGTCAGAGAGAGAGAGACCGGAGCGTCTGCTCACAGCGAGGGTCAGAGAGAGAGAGACCGGAGCGTCTGCTCACAGCGAGGGTCAGAGAGAGAGAGACCGGAGCGTCTGCTCACAGCGAGGGTCAGAGAGAGAGAGACCGGAGCGTCTGCTCACTGCGAGGGTCAGAGAGAGAGAGACCGGAGCGTCTGCTCACAGCGAGGGTCAGAGAGAGAGAGACCGGAGCGTCTGCTCACAGCGAGGGTCAGAGAGAGAGAGAACAGAGCGTCTGCTCGCGACGAGGGTCGGAGAGAGAGAGACCGGAGCGTCTGCTCACTGCGAGGGTCAGAGAGAGAGAGACCGGAGCATCTGCTCGCTGCGAGGGTCAAAGAGAGAGAGAGACCGGAGCATCTGCTCACTGCGAGGGTCAGAGAGGGAAAGACCGGAACGTCTACTCACTGCAAGGGTCAGAGAGAGAGAGACCGGAGCGTCTGCTCACTGCGAGGGTCAGAAAGGGAGAGACCGGAGCGTCTGCTCACTGCGAGAGTCAAAGAGAGAGAGAGACCGGAGCGTCTACTCACTGCGAGGGTCAGAGAGAGAGAGACCGGAGCGTCTACTCGCTGCGAGGGTCAGAGAGAGAGAGACCGGAGCGTCTGCTCACTGCGAGGGTCATAGAGAGAGAGACCGGAGCGTCTGCTCGCTGCGAGGGTCAGAGAGAGAGAGACCGGAGCATCTGCTCGCTGCGAGAGTCGGAGAGAGAGAGACCGGAGCGTCTGCTCACGGCGAGGGTCGGAGAGAGAGAGACGGGAGCGTCTGCTCGCTGCGAGGGTCAGAGAGAGAGAGACCGGAGCGTCTGCTCGCTGCGAGGGTCGGAGAGAGAGAGACCGGAGCGTCTGCTTGCTGCGAGGGTCAGAGAGAGAGAGACCGGAGCCTCTGCTCGCTGCGAGGGTCGGAGAGAGAGAGAGACCGGAGCGTCTGCTCACTGCGAGGGTCAGAGAGAGAGAGACCGGAGCGCCTGCTCGCTGCGAGGGTCGGAGAGAGAGAGACCGGAGGGTGTGCTCGCTGCAAGGGTCAGAAAGGGAGAGACCGGAGCATCTGTTCGCTGCGAGGGTCAGAGAGGGAGAGACCGGAGCGTCTGCTTGCTGCGAGGGTCAGAGAGAGAGAGACCGGAGCGTCTGCTCACTGCGAGGGTCAGAGAGAGAGAGACCGGAGCGCCTGCTCGCTGCGAGGGTCGGAGAGAGAGAGACCGGAGGGTGTGCTCGCTGCAAGGGTCAGAAAGGGAGAGACCGGAGCATCTGTTCGCTGCGAGGGTCAGAGAGGGAGAGACCGGAGCGTCTGCTCGCTGCGAGAGTCGGAGAGAGAGAGACCGGAGAAGTCTGCTCACTGTGAGGGTCGGAGAGGGAGAGACCGGAGCGTCTGCTCACTGCGAGGGTCAGAGAGGGAGAGACCGGAGCGTCTACTCGCTGCAAGGGTCAGAGAGAGAGAGAGACCGGAGCGTCTACTCGCTGCGAGGGTCAGAGAGAGAGAGACCGGAGCGTCTACTCACTGCGAGGGTCGGAGAGAGAGAGAGACCGGAGCGTCTGCTCGCTGCGAGGGTCAGAGAGAGAGACCGGAGCGCCTGCTCACTGCGAGGGTCAGAGAGAGAGACCGGAGCGTCTACTCGCTGCAAGGGTCAGAGAGAGAGAGAGACCGGAGCGTCTGCTCGCTGTGAGGGTCGGAGAGAGAGAGACCGGAGCGTCTGCTCACTGCGAGGGTCAGAGAGAGAGACCGGAGCGTCTGCTCGCTGCGAGGGTCAGAGAGAGAGAGACCGGAGCGTCTGCTCACTGCGAGGGTCAGAGAGAGAGAGACCGGAGCGTCTGCTCACTGCGAGGGTCAGAGAAAGAGAGACCGGAGCGTCTGCTCACTGCGAGGGTCAGAGAGAGAGAGACCGGAGCGTCTGCTCACTGCGAGGGTCAGAGAGAGAGAGACCGGAGCGTCTGCTCACTGCGAGGGTCAGAGAGAGAGAGACCGGAGCGTCTGCTCACTGCGAGGGTCAGAGAGAGAGAGACCGGAGCGTCTGCTCACTGCGAGGGTCACTGAAGGTAGAGAAGAAGAAGGGAAGGAGGGATGAAGGGATGTATATGCAAGGGGATCTTTGTGAAGCCTGTGAGCACAGGGATGAGAGAAAGGTTGACATGAGCTGCGACATGTCAGACACAGAGAGCGGCACGGAGGGCGATACTACCTGGCCCCCACCAGGGGGTGCTGGTGAGTCGGGCTGTGTCCGTGGAGGAGGACGGAGGCCTGTGACGTCACGACCCGTGGTGCGCGCGCGCCGTGCGGTGGTTGGCTCTGGAGCGGGAAGAGCTGTGTGTCTCGTTGTTCTTGCCGTTGTGCTGCCGGGACACTGATTGCCGAGCGCACGCGGCTCCGTTCGGATGCTTGGCTTAGATCCGACTGCTGACCCGGTAGCCGATGTCGAAGGGATCTTCATCTGACTCCGGCGAGTTGATCAGCAGTTCGGGATCCATGGTGAGTAGAATGTTCTCGTGGTAGCGTTTAGTTTGTTTGAACCGTGACGACGCGCGGCGTGAATCACGGTCTGCCTGTCAGTCTTTGAAAGGATGGAGACGAGCAGTGGCCGGAAGTTTTGCCGGATATAAATAAGGGTGGCCGTGGTTCGAGGTGGAGTTTTAGGCGTGGCCATGCTCCTGAACCTACTCCGGCCCCTACAGAGATTCACCACATCTTCCAAAGCCAAAGTAGAACTTCTGAATACACAATCCCTCAGTAATAAAGCATCCTTCATTCATGACCACATCACTGATGATAAAATGGACTTCATGTGCCTCACGGAAACCTGGCATCAGCCAGAGGTTTACTCCGCCCTCAATGAAGCTTGCCCTCCTGGCTACAGCTACTTGGAGAAAGCCCGCAGCACTGGTCGTGGTGGAGGCCTAGCTGTCATCTACCGAAAGGAATTGGAACTGTCACTCCTGCCCCTGCCTGTATTGTCCTCTTTTGAATGCCTTGCATTAACCTATGTTAACATTTTAACCTCATAAATAACAATTACTGTAGTGTAGGGGTGTAACGGTATCCGTATTCGTCCCGTACCGTCACGGTTCGGACGTCACGGTTCGGCACACGCAGTCACACGACGAATACGCCTTTTTTTACGAGTGGGAAAAAAGTCTGTCATTCAGGGCAGTATCCACTACACTATATATAATCCAGGGGGCGGTATTGCGCCTAAAAGCTGTTTGCCAGCCGCCCTTAAACAACAAATGAAGAACAAGAAGAAACACAACAACAAAACGAACAAAATACAAGAAGAAGAAAAGTTAGTATGGCGATTTCAGATAACACACAGGAGCTAGAACCCACCTGCTTCTTTTAAATCAGCTGTGTGGGAACATTTCGGGTTCCCTGTGGACTACAATAAAGATGGAGTGTGCGAGTGGTGGATCGGACGAGGACGGTGTGTCGCCGTTGTTCTACAGTGGTGCGCTATGCTAATGGTAACACACGGCAAACATGCTAAATCATATCAGAAGGCATCACCCAGATTTGCCAATCACCGGAGCCCGGGAAAAGACAACAGCAGTTCAACAGCTGATCCCCGCTGTTTTTAAGAAGCCAATAGACATGAGAGCCGAGAGACCAAAATAAATAACGGAAGCTTTTGGCATATGTTTTTCAACGACTTTGCGCTCTTGAAACACGTTCTTATTATTTAGGATGTAATATTTTCAAGACATTCTTTTTAGTTTTACAGCTTGATGAAAACTTTTTGTTTGACATCAGCCATTATAGATAATATGGCCATCTGAGTGTGTGTGGTTTGTTTTTAACTGTTTAATACAGTTAATTATTCAAAATGTTAGAATTCTTTATTTTTAAACTGAAACTTGCACCACTGTTCAAACATAAATAATAACAAACCTGGAATTATGCATTTGGGACTTTTTTTTGCTTTTTCTTGTTGTACCGAACCGTACCGAACCGTGACCCCCGAACCGAGGTACGAACCGAACCGTGACTTCTGTGAACCGTTACACCCCTACTGTAGTGGTCTAAAACTGGATGTATTTCCCCCTTGTGGTTTGTCGGATTGTGTCATTCATTCTTTTATCCACTAGTCAAATATATGACAATTTATATTTTTACAATTAATGTATAGTATGTAACTTTTTCACATTAAAATGTCTTAAAACATCGAACCTATATTATAATTGTTGCCAAACTGCAAACTTACATTTGAGAAATGTTGTCATCTCAGTGAAGCAAACAGTCCCCTACATTTAGTCGCATGTAATGTTTCCTTTTTACACATGCGTCAACTTTGTGGTTGTCTGCTAGCCATAATTGTACTTACTTTTTATATAGTTTTAAGTCACATTTTTACTTTACGCTTTTTAGATCTCGATAGTTTTTACCTAATTATTTTCCCAGATTGAGGATTTTAGTCATCGATGTATGGATCTTGAGTTATCAGAAAAACAAGCAAAGCAAAAGGCAGCATCCCTAAAACTTTTTTTTGAACTTTTGTTCAGTGTTTATACTTTATCTGTTGGCTTGTTTGTTTTGGAAGAATAAAACATTTGCACAACATTTTAGTGCAAAAAACCCCCTAAATTACAAACTATGAAGAAACCCAAAACAGGTGAAACCCAACTGAAATGTTGTAATGTTGGCAAGACAACTCCCATGATCCTGTGCAATGACCCCACCACGCTCTGTCCTTTGTCTCTGTTTGGATTGAGACCCAGTGGGGCAGAAAATAAAATATTGTGCATAAGCAGTCTTCTAGCAACAATGGTAGAGAAGGCAATGATTTATGCAAAATACCAAGTAAAGTCACTTTTTACTTCACTGTTTGTAGGATTGAAGTGACATTTTTAACAACTAGTTAAAAGTGTTATAATATTTTACAGAAGTTAGCTTACTTAGAGCATGCCTGCCACATGCTATTGCTATATCAAATATTTGATTGAAATGTGTCCCGTTTGGCCAATGTATATTAAAGTCCTTCCGATAATATTACAGAACTGCTGTAAGCTAGCTAGCTAACGCAGCTAGCCTAGTCATTTCAAATATAATGACAAAACACTTCTCTGCGAGAGTGATAGTTGGCAACCTTTATAATCCCTGAACAACACAATGGCTCCGGCCCCAGCTGTGTGCACAACTTTTTAGTGTCTCCGTTTCCGTTGTGTTTGGAGCTTTTTGCAGCATTTTGTATTTGTAGGGTTTTGTTTATGCAGCGCTTTCAGTAAACGCTGTGCATTTCTCTCCAAGTAGGTAAATGCTTTCTAGATTCTGTGCATGTGTGGTTAATTTGGTGAAGATGTTTCTTCATCTGCATGCGTTTTTTACACATTTGTGTTTTTATTAGGGCCGGGACTTTAACGCGTTAATTAAGATTAATTAATTACACAAAAATTAACGCGTTAAAAAAATTGACGCATTTTAATCGCACTTATTTTTGCACCGCGGAACGTTTCTCACTGGATGAGTTTCAGGCGTACCGATTATACTGGAGCACCAACTAACGTTCATGACTTCAGACAACAACAAACCACAGTGAACAACAGTGGGAAATGTTGTTTTAAAAAACGGACGGATGGAAGCGTCGATAAGAGCACGGTTGTGTGCAAATTATGCAAAAAGGAATTCGCATATCACCGCAGCACATCAAGCCTCAAGTATCACCTCAATGCAAAACATATAGCAGCTAGCGTGGAAGCTAGCGTGGACGTTAGCCTCTTTTATCGCGTTCACACCAAAAAGAGCCGGTACTAAAATGAGTTCATGAGAACCTTTTTACCCCCACGAAAGTCCCTGCTAGAGAGCAGAGAGCTGCTAGAGAGCAGGGACTTTCGTACGGCTCTCTTGTGAGAAAAGAGCTATATTTCTGATTGGCTGGGCGGATTGCAAACCACGCCCCGTAAAACTCCCAAAAAGTTTGGTGAAGCCGCCATTTTATTATCCTCGCATTAGCATTATTAGCATTAGCCCAGCGCAGAAACGCAGAGAGACTAACTTATGGCAACACAAAATAAAACATGGGAGCGGTGGAGATGAGGAGGTGTCGGCGTTCTGGCGATTTACTCGGAAGGCTGCTGGGACTCCCAGCAGCTTCTACTGAAGCCAGTCCCCAACTCCGGGGACTTCCGGCCGGGGACTTTGGGCGGCAGTATACGCCGTGAAGTGGTTTGCGGCCTGCCAGTAAACCCAAAGCAGAAGAAGAAGAAGTGACGTCAGCGGCTTCATTTGTTCTCATGAACTAAGTTCTCATGAACCTTTGTGGGAAAAGTACTGCGGTGTGAATGCGCCTAATGGTATACTAAAATCCATGTGAAAAAAATTGCTTCTCACTGTTCTTAGGTCAAATATTTATATGCGATTAAAAATGCGATTAATTTCGATTAATTAATTACAAAGCCTCTAATTAATTAGATTCATTTTTTTAATCGAGTCCCGGCCCTAGTTTTTATATCTATCGTTTTTGAAAGTGCAGTGTGTTTGTAATTGTTTTGGGCTGTTGCAGCGCGTTTGCACCTTTCGGCCACCGTATATTACAGCCCTGCAGGAAAACAATATTTGTTACTGTTATCTTTTAAATGGTTGTTGCTACTGAATGTTCTAATGGACAGCATTGTTGTAGGAGTAGGATATCATCAATTACATATTGGACAAAAACAAACCTTAGCCTGCATGTAAAACGACAACTGTGTGTGTGGGTGTGTTTGTTAGTGAGGCATGTGAGCGTGGGGAAGTGGGGAAAAGGTGAGAGGACTTTGTGTTGTTAACCTTGGTGCAATGGCCTGCTATCGTCAGCTCAGTGTGTAACTGTAGAGCTGGGAGGAAGAGTTGCTGCTGTTTATGCTTGAGCAATGGACCGTGTCAAAAAAGTGTGCTGGCCTCTTGGATTGACATGTCATGCAGTCCTCTACGCCCTTCACACACTGTTTGCATCCCATTTTGCTTTTAGAACCAGCGAAATATGATGGGTGTGTTACAGTTGAAGCCATTATTTATATTTCAAGTTAGAAATAAAAAAGAGGAAACTTTCTTTTGCAAAATGCACCAACTTCTGCTATTTTCATGAATGACGTGGTGGTGCATTTAGCTGGAGTGTAAATGCGGGATTATTGTAACAATGAGCACTGTGACTGCGTTGCTTGGTGCCATGTTAGCGGTAGGCTAAAGGTGGTGTGAGAATGAGGGGCTGAATTCCTATCCAGTGAGTGGAGCGTTGGTTTCTGTCTAGACAAAGCTCAGTTGTCAGGGAGACCTGTTCGGATCCAGGACTGCCCCGGGCTCCAGGAAGTTTTGGTGGGAGCGAGTGGGCCTTTTTTTTTTTTTTCCCCGCTCGGTTTTCCCTCCTCGGAGGATTGCAGCGAATGCAGTTCACTGCTGAGAGTTTTTTTTTTTTTTGCTTGTGGGAGTTTTTCTCCCATGATAGGGTGGAGACAGCTCGCTTCATTTGTGCAGAGATAAACGGCATTATTCTCTCCCTCCCACTC